GTATACGATGGTCTATCTGAGATGTTCAGATAATTTAAAGCATCGGACATCTTTATCAGTTATATTAGTCTAAACAATTGCAACGAGACCTATTGTGGAAACACGCTGCGTCCTTTCGTCACGTGTTATGTCACGCATAGAATAGTATGTCACGCTCCACTACATCATGCCATGTCGTGCTGTGTTATACAGTCACGACACTAGCCACAGCTACGGGGTATGATGTACGGCCAGAAATAGTCCTGATAACGCACAATGGCACACTAGCCAAGAAACACAAATATACTACTTCCATATTTAGTCTGACACTGAACAATTATATATTTAGTATATTCACTTTCTTAAAGTTATGAGAGAAAACAGACGTCACGTTATATGAATGCCGGGAGTGTTATTGTGTTATTTGCTGCCATCTCGTTAATATATAAATTGACAATTTGGTGTTTGGCCATAAGTTAATTCGTATAATATAATTTTGAAATGAAGTCAACTAAATGTCCACAACAAGAAATTACACGAGTAATGATGTTTAAATTTATCGCATGGCAGGCCGAGGAAAAGTGACTCTCAGTGACGTCACGGTATCGTACATTTACGTGGAAAACATGAATTGACTGCATTCTTTTTTGTTCTATCATTTTTTCCGTTTATTTCTCAGTTAATGCACAAATATTGTAATAACCACCACATTGCACACTACGATCTACCGAAATCATGGACCAATACAAAAGCGGCAAAGTAACAACCATAGTTGATATCTATAGGAGCGTGTTTCTAACAAACAAGACTGTTCGAACCCCTGTCTGCATTGTGATGGTATCCTAGTGGCAGATAATTCCGCACACCATTATGTTTCATTGTGTGTTTACTCAATATAATGTTTTGTCTTCGAGACTGTAGTTTAGTATTATTGTATTCATTCACTCTGGAATTCTTATTACCTCCATTATCTCCACGATAGCTAAAAACCAGTCACAGTATGTCATACGCATTAAATCATTTCTTGCCTGGCATCATACATGTATTTGGTATCTGGCATCACATGATTACACATTACAAGCATCTGAGTATACTAGTATGTTGCACACATCTTGACCCCAGCGATAATGTCCACACTATTCCAACGTTGACATTTCATATGTGGTGCTACGCGCATTAATGTTAAATGATGATCGCAATCAGTAAATTGCTTTGTGGGAAAGTAGAACTCACTAACCCCCTCCATGTTTCCACGCGTACAGCGCTATCTTCTTTTGCATCGCAGCTAAGCTTGCATATATTACATTCAAACGAGAAGGCTTGCTGAATCTGGAGTTCTATATCTTCCGGGGTCTTCTATCTCAATTTCTTTATAGCTTACAGCAATATATCCAATACATTCGGCAATGTATTTTCAAGCCGCCATGTTCCCAGTTCTTACAATTTAATCACAACCCGAAATAATATGTAAGGATTGGCCGCCCTAGAGAGCAACCTCTCATGGCAATCTTCCTCCCATAAGACCTTGCGCGTAGCACGCATCAGTCTGTTCGAAGTTCTCACATTCATGGTTGCTAAGAGTACAATCACAGTGCGCATTGATATACTAGTATGAGGAATCCAAGTCCTCTGGCATGGAGACCGTCGATTGCAATTGGTTCTGCTGTTTAGCTTTTGCATTAACCGTGGCGCTAACAGCGAGGAGTCGATTCATTTTCTTAATGAATTGGTTTTAGTAAATCAGATTTAGTGAATCCTTTCCAGGTAGTCAAATTATGACGACATCTAAAGTGGAAATAATAAACTTCCCTTGATAATAAGACTTCTCAGAAGTACAGCTCGCGAAACAGAAGAGGCTCTGATAGAATCGGGTTGACCTCTCCAACGGTTACTCTAACCAGTGATTTGTTTTAACACATGATGGTTTCCCGTGTTGACTGCGTTTCGTTTACCTTTGACTGACATGTATTCGATTTTACTGCAAGTATTACTTTTTAAACAACACAGATTAGCACTGTCTTCCAGTCACTGGCAAATACTGTAGCTAAATACCTTGGAAACCATCAGGATAGAGCGTATGTACGTTTATGTAGACGACGTTTCTGCATTTCTGTTTTACTTGAAACATCGATGATGTCCGGAAAACTTTATATTTCGAAAATCGCATATGTATTTATATAAGAAAAAATGATAGTAGATTTATATAAATAAAAATGATTTAGGGCAACATTAAATTTTATATGATATTTCAATCGTGTGCATGCGACGCAAAACTTAATATATTGCCAAATATTTTGATTCCAATTATTTCCATTGGATAGCAAATTTAGTATTTTTTGGCAAATTCTTAATTCATTATCAGTATCAGTGTGTTTAAAATTTCCACGAATTAACATTATCGCATTTTACGTCTATCAAATAATGGCCAAATAAATACGGGAATCATTAATTACTAAGGACCTGGCGTAGAATTGGAAATTACTCCAAATAAACAAATGACCAATTCGGGAACAGAATAATAGTATATTTGGATATTGATGAAATAGTAGGGCGCTTAGCAAGTGCGTCGTGTTTCTCTCATGAAGTTGACGCTGATTGTGCACAAAGGAAGCCGCTCATCCCGCCATTGGATGGCGGCACATCGTGTATGTGATGTTTACAAAGGACGTGCAGATGATCCGTGGTACATCGTGACCAATAATAAAATAATTGGTTGTCCAACTGTGGGCGTGTCTTTTATTTCTGTGCTAAATGTGCAACACCAAAGTCCCGCCATTTATTTCTCATGGTTGTTCAACCATAGTCGTCTGCACTAGTATCGCGAGTTCCAAGTTTGGTTTACTCAGTGTTTACTATGTTGGTAAAACCGCGCAAATTCATTTTACCGTCACTTTACAGCGGTTTTCACACAGACACCAGTTAATTCCGTTACCCATGGGCTGAAGCAATTTCACATCGACCAGACACGCCCAAACAGATGACGAGATTTGACAGGATCGGTCAATGCGCATGCGTATAAAACAGCTGGTACTAATATCCTAATTTCCTAATAACTTATTTTGTACTCGTACAATGCAAAATACATATTTGATTAGGTTGGTTGGCCATCAAGTACCATCCTATGGCACCCAATTCATATATCACCAATACCATAGTACAGATTTATGTTAACAGTGAGTCAAAAATAAGACTGATATACTAAATTTTTATTTAATTAATTGTAAGAATGAGATTACATTGTGAAATGGCCACGATGTACCACGGGTCATTTTCCCGAATGCCAACGGGCTTTCATGTCTGACTGTCTAGTGTTACTGAAGGGTATATGTAAACGACTCGTAGGCCGCTTGATATGAAATTAGTGTTCTTGTTTTCAATAAGCTGTACTCAGATAAGAATGCTTATCCCTTTCATCTAAGTTAATTATTCCTTTTCAGACTTTGTGTGGAAGCGTAGTACTTCGCAAAACATTCACGTCTGCGTACCAGGACAGCCATCAAGACCACTATTCAACTTCCGGTGTAAATCGAATGAGCTTTTTTTCCTGAATGCCTTATAGAGTTTTTGGAATTAGTGGAAGTGAGGTTAGGTTAAATTACTTTCATCGATGGATATGTGTTTTGACCAATCACATGTCAAATGGTTTGGTGCTTCGGTGGTGGATATATTTGATTTTGCAGATCTAGTAAATGACATTTACTTCGAGCCAGGGTGTGAAAGTTCGCTGCTAATACCGGGATAAAACACCCGAATTTGTTAAGGATTGAAGGTGGATAACTTGGTAACATGTAACTGGCATCTATTTGTCTCAACGAATGTTTTGTATAGATCTTATTTGCAAATGGCCGACAACTTGAAGATCTCGTTGACACCGAGAGATCCAGCGCGTGTGACAGAGAATTGAACACTATTTCGGGGGCGGACAAAAACAAGTCTCGTGATTCTCTCGCTGTCAGCGAGATAGTCGGCGGTCATTATAAATAATGTATTCGTTATATTCAATGTTTAATCATTGTCATCTGTGGGAAAACATTTGGTGGTACCATTGGGTCATCATCACGGCATGGTTTAATCATTTCCATGTAATACATTATCATCCCGGGCACACTCAACAAAAACATGAAGGGTCTGTCACTCAAACGGCGATACTGTTATTGGTCAATTTTTATGTTAAAACGGCATTTTGGAGGCGAGGGATGCATTTTTTGTTAAAATTGCGTCAATCCATGGCCAAAAGCGGCAGTTTGGTGTAGAAATGGCGTCACATTCGGTGATGTTTGCTTTCCTGTGCCCGCTATTATCATTCTTTGGCAGATCCTTTGAACGGACGGCAAATTTTCGTCGTCGCCGTATGATGTGCTTACGGTGCACTTTTGTCATTTAATAATTTAAATCACGCATGATCATAAAAATTTTTTCCAGAAACACTAATTACATTCACACAGCATGGTGGATTGTAGCAAACCGCATTATCCTCAAAAACACTGCGATAACGAATCACGGTCTAATTGTATCCAAAGCGCTGCAGGAAAAAAACATAGTTTGAGTCCATGGGGACACTTTGCTTCGTTATTGGTGAGATTAATACGCCTCAATTAAAAAGTATCCCTCAAAAAACCTGTCATACCCTGCAGTTGTCTTGTGTTCAATGCCCCCCACCAAATATAACAACGATTAAAATTACCAGAAACAGAAATAAGTGGAATTGAGTAAATAATCCAAAATCATGGCACAAATCTTACTACTATCCTGATTTTTAAATGCATTATGTCCAAGCCTAGTACCTCCACGTATACATTCGCGGAGAGGGACATTTCTGAACGGATATGAAACGATAGACGATGCTTCGTACATACCGTACCTCTGTGAGAAAATCAAGAAGTCGGGCTAATTGTATACACCAGTACAAATATGTATTCATTCAAAGTGTTCATTACAATACAACAACAATACGTTTGTCGATCACAGGTCATAGCTGCGACATAGAAAGGTTGATATGTTTGTCACGTGTGAATACTCACCAGGTCCATAAGCTGCGTAATTGAAATGGACAGACTGACATTGATTGGATGAGAGGCGTTCCAAACAGGTCGCACTTTCTTGTTATAATCATGGAATAATCTCTTGTACAGTTTTTGTTCTGCTAACATCTCAGCTGTGAAGAGATAAACAGTGAATTGTAAATTTATTGTATAGGGTGCCGAATGTATTATTTAGGTTATTGGTTGCAAACTGAAATTGTCAATGCATCTACAACATCCAGGTGATAGGTATCAGATACTAGTGTGTACATGATAGACATAGTCACAATTCGTCGCAGGGGTATCAGCGTATTGTCAGACTGAATCATCAGAATTTAAATCGTAATATGAAATATTTGAATAATGATATCATGAGCGTAATTTGATTGTGTTATTTTCTTTTGATAAGCGGTGGTATGCAGTGTGGGTAACACTTAAGAATACAATGTAAAAATTACCCAAACACACGTGGGTAAAGTACTCTCACAGAGCATGCGCACAGTGAATAGAATAGTTCATTTCATTGTGAATGACTCTACAGCCACTCTACATGCCTTCGCATATTCAGCGACATGCAATCGTGATTATATCACGCGTTGTCGGTATATGTATCATTTTAATGGTCCTTCCTCTCGACTTAACTCACACAAGCTACTTATACCATCAGAGAGATTCTGTCATGGAATACAGTCCGATCATGAACAGAGGTATATAAAAGTCTGTGTGTGATTTTAATAAAAAAAATTGTGTAAATTAGACCATTGTCCCCGTTCCCTTATGACTGTGTGCCGTTTGTTTTTTATCATTTTTTCACCTCGAGTCTTGTTTACATTGCGTGGAATAATGCCGTGCTTTTCATCAAAGTTCAATAGCCATCGCGTTTACCCACTGCTGTGGCCTTTATAAATGACAGGCGTGACCTTTGACAAATACGTCAACTCAGTTAAAAATCTCCATGCACCGTTTGTTTTTCGTAGTTGGGCAAATCGAACACAAAACACGCCACACGCCATGGCACTATAGTATACATCCACCAATTTTAACTTAAATATTGATAATGTTAGATGCCCCTTTATTCAATATTAGAGTCACGTTTTCTGCTGCCATATTTGAAACAAGGTAATTTTGTTTTCCATTGCTTGTGATTGATACACATCCACATTATTAACCGTAAACCTTGCAGTTAGCAATACATCTGTCATTGTAGACATTTTTTATAAGCATTCCGTTGTTTTATGTAGAAATTGTACATTAGTATATAGATAGATAGATACATCGACAGACACTGCATTGGTTGAAATGGCATTCATAATTTACAGTACGAACATGTCCCTCGATGTAGAACATGTGAATCTATGGCTTATTATATCATGTGTAGTTTTACCACCATGTGCGCACGTGTACATTGCAGTTTTAATCAACGTTAAACTCTGAAGAGCTCCCGCGTGAATACAGAATATAACCAAACTACATAACAGTTATTGACTGTGTCACGGACATGACTCTAAAACTATTCGTGCACGTTATCACACAGATATCAAAGTATCAAATCTACTCGGACAATTTTAAGAATTTGCTTACACATACTGAATGAGATAACTAGTATGTAAAATAGCTACTTAATAAGCATGGACATGGTCCTAAAAGTAGGCTAAAAATAAAAACATGAGGGGTGGGAGTAATTAAAAAAAGGATTGATGTGATACGTATTTATCTCAAAGCAGGTCTCCGCTGTTTGTTCAGAATAGTTCCCAAGACGTACATCAAAGACTCCTGATAGTAACAAGTTTGTAGATTAAATCGAATTCACCATGGTTCGTTTCAGAATATAGTAAATTGACTACGACTACAGATCAAAACAATGTGGATGATGTGAACGACCTGCTTTTCGCCAATTTCCGTCACCGATACGTTTGTCGGTAGAGGGCGTGACTTATAGGAACGATGTATCTTCGGGGCGGACCAAACGGGTATTTTTACCGCCTAGCAACCATTACAGTGAAAACAAAAGCCGACAACTCTCAACAATTTTAGAACTTTTGTTGAGATTCCTCTGAACAGTGTGTCAAGATTATCCCTACATGTGCAACATATATAAATTTGGTTGCTCGGGATTACTTCAAATTTGAGTTTGAGGTGTTTCCTTGACTTTAGCTGTTTTCACCGGCTCTTCGACCGGCGTTCCACAACAGCTCGCGCAGTTTTCATAGAAATACATGGTAGAGTGGGGCGCGTCCTAGCAACGCAGAACGTTCTGTGACGTAGCTCCGCCTCTAAGGATATACTTTCCCAATAAATCGTGGCACGAGTACCATTCAAAGCATCGAAATAGTTTCGACTTTTAGTAATCTATCAATGAAGATTGTGTTTTTGAGAGATTTGACTGCACAACTAAACACAGTGGTCGATTTCAATGACATTGACGTTACTCATACACGCCATTTTGACGTCATCGAAGCACTCTGTCACTAGAGGGCGCGAAGAAAAATGGGTACGTTCTGTTGTGTTATGTGCCATTGGATACATCTTTTTTTTATGTAAATGAATCAGCGTTGTTGTTTTACATTCTCTGAACGTTTCCTAATCCCAGAACAGAACGGTTCATTGTCGATCTTTTAAAAATTGACGAATAAATTATCAGTTGCGAGTGTTTGTTCCCTGGTTACAATGAAAAACGTGTTATATCGGAGCATCACTGTCTTATCACTTGGTTTTCGGGTTCAACGAATTCTGAATGTGAAATTATTGTGTCGACCTTGAATGTAATTACTGTCTTCACCACGTCTGTTACGACATTCAAATAACATGCCGCCATGTTGCAAGAGGTTGTGGACGGACGATGTTCTAGATAAGCCATTTGACATTGTGATTTACATGGGACACGAGAAGACATTGTGTCAATATTATAATTCTATAGTCTCATATTCTCTTTTTAACTCGAAAGTGGAAGTCATGTCCACAGGAATTCCGTCATGATTCGATTATTTCGCTAAGGGGCTGCGATGTATAAGAGTAACTCTAAATACTGTGTTACAGCTGGCGCTGCAAAAGACATATGCTATTTCCATAACTGACCGGAATTAATTTCAATATTTCAAAATCAAATGGCATATCCGCCAGTATGAAAAATGTGTCTGGTAGCCCATAATATATTAATTATTTGCTTTAACCTAATACGTTGCATCTAATTTGATGTATGTGAAACATGATCTATAACTGTAAATACACACAAGTAAAATGGAATGTGTTCAGGTTAAATTTGCCGCAATTATTTGATTATTCATTCAATAGACACGACGACCACAAAGTAGACAATATTGTGTGGCAACCAAAGTTTGCAATGACTTTGTATTCAGGCACATCGTTTTTCAGGGGGGGGTGTTTGAAATTGCGTATTCAATACGATACCAGAAATAATCAAGCCTAGATGTGCGTGTGTAATTTTATAAAAACTGATTTTTAAATGTCGGACTGATACATTTAGAGTAAGAACAATCCAATACAATACAAAAACATAGTAAACTTTATTTTAAAATGACAAGGACATAGTAAGTAATGTAACTAATCTCCCCAGGGTCCACCAAAAAAATATGATAAATGTAAAAACAGTTTATAATGTATCATCATAAGATAAGTTGGTAGCCTGGGTTCAAAGAATCGCGTAAATGCTTATAGAAAAGCTCCATGAGATTCAATATTTCCCAGGCAATGAACTACAAATTAGAAGTTTGATAACCTCTAATTTGTCAATACCTGTGGAGATTTATTTCCCTTCAATTTTATGGGACTTTTAACATTTGTGACGATTCTGTCTATTTGATTTTTAAAATGTCTTTTTATGTCCTAGGTGTATACTGTAAAATACTTTATTTTTGCTTGGAAATTATTTTCGTTATAATCGCTGATTAAGTGAAAATAAAATTCAGCGATTATATCTTTTTCCTATATTTTGAATTCGGCTCGTAAAAATCGGTGAAAATAAATATACAAAACACTCGAAAAGTCTCTTCAGTCAAAATTAATTCTAGCTAAAATAAATTATTTTACTGTAATAGTCCTGTTTTTCAGGTTCTTCATTGTTTCTTATAGAGAATGTAATTGTAGTATAGTATGGGATATGCAACACGTAGAATGTTCATTCACCACTTCCCTACAATACACAGTGTATGTGCAGCATACTAATCAAAATTTGATTTTCGGGTGTTTAGCTAAATTGTGTGGCAGCCCTCCATCGAAGTGTGTGGTTTGTGAATGACAAAGAATATAATGCTTTTTTTAACTTTACATTACGAAGAATAAATCATAAAATGTAAATCTGCACTGCCATTAAGTGAGATAATGTGCAGGAATTATGTGTCTGTAAAAATATACCCGAATCCATATTGTTTATCTCACGCTCCAAACCCCCAAATGGTGCGTAAAGATGTATGCATATGAACTCTAAACCTTCGCTAATTTTTTCCTGTTTTTTGTGTGTTATGTAATAATCTCTGTATCCTGAAGTTATATGAATTCAAAAGTTTCCGGTAGATATATGCATTGCATAGTATTATGTTATGCACAGCAAATAATCACGATGACGCGAGAATGTGCCTCGGTAACGGTAACAATCCTGCACGGTGCTTGGTGGGCGTCGCTCTCCAATTCAACGCAATAAACCGTAGTATATAGTTCAAAATAAATGAGAAAAGAAACGAAAAACACAGCTTTGCAGTCGAAAACATAAATGTGCAAAAATGTAAAATGTGTTTATAAAACGTATCCAGACGTTCCCCGCCTTTCTCTCGGCGGCGGTTTGTAAATAAATTTAAATTGATCAATACGTGTTAGTGCCTATAGTCATTGCGAGAACGGGAACAATAAGACAAAAACATCCAGACGAATTGATATACAATTGACTAAATATCACGACGAAATTAATACTAACAAGAAGAATAGTCGCCCAGATGAAGTGATATAGATTGAATCACGTAACACATTAATGAACAGTGGAACTATCATAGGATTTGGGCACACTGGAAAAGGGCGTTCTAAAAATTTATTCCATTTTTAATTATTTGAGGTTTAGGATTTTTGGTTATGGCTGTATATTGAACAATTAACTTATGTTAGCTTAATGAAAAATATGTTAATACGTAGGTTAATAAATAAACACATAACACGTTTTGCACTTGGGTACTGCAAAATTCTACACGCCAGTTCCAACATAAATGTGGTGCAGAGTGGTTAATTACATCGCTAGTGTACAATCAGTATAGCCGTCCTCGCTTTAACTACTCAATCGGTCTCTGTTGAATATAATTGAGAGCAAATCCTTAACATAATCAATTTTCTGGAGTACGTATTCATTTCCATCTCGGAATGCTGCCAGCTTCGCGGTGTCCAGTTACCCTCGATGTGAGCATGGCAAACACATACTCCGTATACTCTGCGTAAAATTGACGATTCAGCTGCAAGTGTTAAGAGTTAATTCCATGGCGTATAATGGATAACGTGTGCGTAATTAGTTGTTATTTCGTTCATAATATCCCAATTGTCCTCGTCGTGAACTCATTAATGATATTATGCTGCCGACTCAGTGTCTCAACATGTACTGTAAAACATGTCTTTTTAGTGAATTTAGCCAGAGAACTGATTCGCTAATTCAAGATGTCGCTAATGACTTTATTATCAATTCAAAATGGCCGCCAAACAAAGAAACCAACAATGACAAGAGAGATTCGCTAAATCAGCATTTTGCTATTACGTCATTTTACCACATTTCGCTAAAATTGCAAGCCAACAACATGTTTTACAGTATGTTACTGTTCGACGCTAGGTTGGATAAGTAGAGAGCAAAATGTTGGAAAAGTCAAATTCAATGAACAAAATTTGGAAAATCGCTCAAGCAATCGAAAACGATGAGAAAAATTCGGTATTGAATGTAATCAAAGATTTGCCATTTGAAATGGTAATGGAAATTGTATCACGTTCACATGTATCGTAAAACTTTTTGTTTGTTTACACTTATTTT